AAAAAATTCAAGTAGAGAAAATACCACCTTTTGTGACTTAGCTTTGAAGAAGGTTGAAATGCCTACTTTGTCTAGCCATATAATCCATTTCCCTAGAGCACAGATTATTTTAAGACGCCCTGCCTGCTATGAAACCTCAAAGGTATTACCACATTTGAAGAGACTATCAAACTGAAGAGGTTACTGATCACCCATGGAGATGCTCTTCTCGGCAGTGCCCAGGGGAGGAGCCTCAGCTGGTCAGGACCCATAAATGGATGTATGCGCCTCCAGCAGCCAGACTCCACTGGACATTGGAAGTCGTACACCTGTTGTGACACTGTGCAGCTCTCCAGTTCCCCGATGATGTGGGGACAATGCACTGATCAATACCAAAGACATCACGCACTATATTTTCTGTTACAGCTTTTCCTTGTTGTAAATTGAAAAGTGGTTTTGATACATCTTTACTTCTGCCCTCAGGGAGAGAAGGTGCTAATAATTGTGCCAACATGGGCATTTTGAGTCCATGTGACACTTAATTTTTCTCATAGGTTCACCATCAATATTTTTTTTATGAACCAAAGAACAGCTTGATGAGCAGGCTGATATTGGGGGTGTCTGCCTGAGGGCACAGCATTTCAGGGCTGGGGGTTCCTTGAGCACAGAGTTGTCTTCATAGCAGACAGACAGACAGACTCAGTCCTCGGACAGCCTTCCTGCCAGCACTACCAGGTCCACTGGCCCCACTCAGCTCCTGCAGCTGTTATCAGGGTTACGTATGCTTGCTGTTTGAATGAGGAGAAACAAGAACGGTCACACATCGTTTAAAAATATATGTTTATTACAGTGTATTTCTTTTTTCATTCTCAAAGCTTCAGACCATCTTTCATCTAACCCCTGAGGTACCTAAGTGTAGACAGTACACAGCAGTGATTTGCCTCTCTTTAGGTCTCTTCCTTCCTTTTCTTTAAAGGGAAGAGGTTCAAATACCTGGAGAGCCCCACCTAACTCTATAAATGTAATGCTTTGGTTTGATGGCTTATTGCATCTTCAGTCAGTATCCTCCTTGGCTTACTCAGTATTTTGAGTGAGTGAATCATGATTCCCCACCAGATCATTATGGGTGAGCAGTAAGTAATAAATAGAGAACAGCAGTACTGAATATTATTCAGTGCAGTTCTTGGTTCTGCATAAAAGAAGGATCAGGTATTAGAGGGGGCATTAGGATCAAGGCCATGAAGAGCCTCCCCGGACACCTGAAGCCATTAAACTATCTTCTTCCTCTAATGTGAGGGGCTCACTCTATTCAGAGGATAAGTCAGAGCCTTGACCTTGATAACAGTCCTTTTCTGCCTTTAATCTGCTGTTACTTACTCTCTCCCCCAAGAAAGGGAAGCAGGTCCCAGCAGATGCTGCCATCATCATTGAATAAAATAAAATCATTTCAGTAAAAATTTTGTATTATTGTGCAAAATTGCCAACCCGGAGTTCAATGGGAAAAATGAGAAATCTTAAGTTTGTCAACATGATCCAAAGAAGGCACAATCGTCACCCATCCCAAGGCAGAAAGGTAAGAAAAAGGAGCCGGTGGTCTCTGTCCCCTAGGGACAGAAGTCAGTTCATTCGAAGATGCTCCTCTAGATAAGGCACAGATCAGGAGAGCAGAGTATCCAGGGTCCATTCCCTTATCACCCAGAACCATCTCCCTGTCTTGAAGATTTTTGGATATGCTTAAGTTTGAGTCAGAAGTCATTACGGGCTCAGCAAACCTGCCCCTAGGTTCTGGTCTCTCCAACTTCCTTCTGGTCACAGAAGCTTTCTTAAGGCACAGAAAGACGCTGTCTGAGCTCTCTGCAGGCTGGCCGAGGAGCTGCAGTGTCCTCCGAACTCCAGGGAGCAAGTGCTGGCTTCGGCTGTGAGTCTCCAGGAGCTGGGAAAGAGGTGAGTAACAGCCATCAGGAGAAAAAGGAGGTGTGGGGCTGGAAGTTCAGTGTCTGGAAGAAGAGGTCCCAGCGCTCTCTCCAGTCCTCAGTGCCTGCACGGCTCTCACCAGCTAAGTCATGCTGAGAAGTGGGTAGGCCAGGTAGTAGCCTACACCTGAGCCTAGGACCACGCCGAAGAAAATCCAGGTGTTGTAGGACATGACCGCCAGCATCATGAAGTAGCCGATGACCACCTGAGTGACGTGGAGTAGAGACTGGCCAAAGTGACACAAAAACCACCTAGATAAAAAGGAGAGCCAGGTTAATGTCCATCCTGAGCTGGAAGCTAGGAGCTGGTGTCAGGGAGTAGCTGAGTTACAGGACCAGCTTATTTCTAATTTGTATGCTTGACCCAGGAGAGATTTCTTTTTAAAGAGGCATATCAGAAACCATTGAGAGAGGGGAGAGAGACCTGTACAACGAGTTTAGGGTGATCACTTCTCTACCACATTTAGGTCTGAGCTTCCTGGTGTCCTAGGCAAAAAATGAATAATACTGATAAGGGATAATATGAAATCCTCAGTAAGGCAGACTTTCCCCCCCCCCGAATCTACTGTAAGAGGCAGCATTATAATGGAAAATGAATAAACTTCAGTGACAGATCAATTCCTAGCTCTACCACTTACTAGCTGTAGCTTAGCGCAAATGTCTAAACCTCTCTAAACTTAAATTTCCTCATCAGTAAAACAGATATATTAGTAAGACAGGTGTAAGAATTCCTCCCTTGCAGGGGGGTTGTGACTATTCGAGACACCCATGTAAAAAGCAGGCAGGCGGGTTAGGCACAGCTGGAGCTGCCGAGAGGGCAGAATGGGGATCCTAAGGGCTTGTCCTATCAGCGTGGGGAGGGAAGAGAGGAGAGAGGGGGTGCCCCACACCAAGCTGGATACACTGCTGACAGCAACTCTTACCATTTGTGTGTAGAGACAGCCGCAGATTCCATCTTGGGTTTGGAAACCTGAGTGACCTAAGGAAGCCTGCTGAGATTTGGAGGAGGGCTGGGCAGCCACCCCTGTTGCTAGGCTGAGGCCTGCACCAAAGTTCTGAAGATTGGAGCTTCCCGAGTAGCTGCTCAGAGAGAGCTCCAGCCTGGACAGCAGGAGACCGGAGCTCTAGTTCACTGCACTACTTAGTAACTGTAAGCACCTGGGCGAGTCTGGGTCCTTCCCTGGGCCTCAGTTTCCTTTCTGTGAAATGGGGCTAATGTCCTGGGGTCCCAGCCTACCTCTCGGGGTGAATGTGAAGACTCTTCCCATTTCCCACCTGCCGTGCCTGTTACCTGAGGTGGGATCTGCTGACTGGGGGTGAGTCTGAGTTTGAAGAATCCTGGTCTGTCTCTTCAATGAGCTGCTGGCTGGTGGGGATGGGCAGGCTTGCCAGGGCCTGGTGGAGCAGCCTGACTTTACCAACCTTGATGCTTTCAAACAACACAGCCAAGAGCAGGACCACCAACACCGAAAGGGCCATGCCTGTCAAAGGAAGCTGAGTTACAGAGGCTGGGCCAGGCAAGCACTGCTTCCCTTCTGGCAGTTTCCCCGGGGACCTGGCACAGGTGGCAGGTGAGCACCTCCCCCTACCCTCTCTGAATCCATTCCTCTACTTCTCCCTCTCATCTCTTCCTCATCCTCGCTGGGCTCAGAACTTCCTCACTGTCTCCCCCAGTCCAGCCCGTTCTCAGTGGGGGTGGCCTCCTGGAGTGTAGCTTTGAGATCAGAGGGAGGAGCCACCCAGAAAAGCCTGGGGCCGAGGGTGGTGAAGCCATACACCACCACCCCAGCTGTGCCCCTGGCAGGAGGCCCCAATCTCTGTCCTGACTTCTTGTGAAGGAGAAGCATGTATAAAAAGTTTCTGTTTACCTGTGTGCATACAGAAAAGTCTGGAGGGAAAGATACAGCAAG